TGTATATAACTAAAACGCGTATTGCTAACCCAGTTGTATAGTGACTATAAACCATTACCATACAACGTTGTTTATACTCCTTAAGAAATGATAGCTATAACTGTTATTAAAGTAGTATTCCATACTCGTTATTAGAACATCTAGTACTAATTATAAGCTTTATAATAATAAACGTCCTAAACTGTAGTATACTCTGTCTGAATTAAAAACATATGAATTAACTCTTCAGAAATGTTGTTGGAGAACTGTGACTATAAGCTGAGATTCTAATGTAAATGTATAACAAACATTTAAGTACTAAAAATGATCATAAATCGCTCCTAAAACTGTCCAGCTTATCTCTTTAGTAGGGATCCACCGGTGTCTTCTTGAATTACATTACATTACATTACATGAGAACTTGCACTATAACTCTTCCAACCTAAGAATGAAGAAACGTTGACTTTCTTTTCTAACTCAATTTCCTTTGGTTCCTTACCCCTGTTCTGCTTTGTCACTGTTCGCCTTCTGTTCCTCCATCCTATGTAAAACTTAATATCAGCGATTTCTGATAGGCCACACAAAATTATAATTTTTAATATTTGGACAAGATTTAAATATGAAAAATCAAAACAAATACCATAAAACAGTTAGATACTTATATAACTTTCTACTTCACAAAACGCGGTATGATCATGTATCCCACAACACATGTGTCTATACCTACTATTAATTCTCATCCAACTAGAAGAAGCGTAATAGTCGATGAACAGCGGACTCTCGGATATTTTACGATCATATCATCAAAAGATGTCAAAGGGGCGAAGATTTTAAAAATGCGATTCCATAGACTTGCAAATAAGCACTGTCTATGATAGTTAACAGAAAAGTTAGGTTAGGTTAATGTGTTCTATTTCTTTGGTTGTCACCGTTCATTTTTTAAGATCCCTGGTGAGATTCGAAAAAGTACTGAATTAGTTTTTCCAATACTATCGAATAAGCAAATTATTCATTCATGTTCCTCTGTTCGATATATCGAAAAACCTTATCAATTTTCAATAGCTTACCTTGCTGAAATTGACAAATGTTACACATAAATTTTATGTGAAATTACACACTGAACTATTGTTTATTTTGACGCCGCCTATGATTAACAAAATGGGCTATACTTTGACAGTAAGTTATTTGTACTTTACTTTGTATCTTTACTAAACATTTATTACTACTAAACTACTACTAGTTATATAAATTCAAACACATTTGTCTCGGAAACATTTACAAGATTGATCCTTTTTAAGCTATGGTTCTATTCATAAATTATTTATAGAAAATAATAAGGAAGGTTAGACCGCTGTTGATACGCAGAAAGTACGATAAGTAGCACCTTGTACAAACTGCATAAATATTATTGGCAGATTTAAATTTCTCCTTCAAAATTATTCCCGGTTACCAACTTTCATAATTTTTTAGGTTCCTTAATTTAAGAAAAGTAAAAATAATGGAGATAAAAAAAATTGACTCCGCCATGTCGGTTACCAATAAGTTAACAGCATAGGTTCATTCGAGTAAACTACTGTCATGTTTATGGTCTATTGTTAAAAAACACCTTGTATATAAAATTATTCGTTCGTAAAATTACATTATTAATTAAAACAAACATATAAATCTAATGATAATTCAATGTAATTTCACATTATGTATATTTACATCAAAAATATAAAAACACGCGTTATAATGTATTATTTGTATACATTTTGTGCATAAACACTATAGCAAATGTGTAAAATTGCTTAAATAAACTTGTAAGCATGTGGATCGAACCAAGAAGGTATACGTTCTATGACATTCCATTTTTTTTTTCTAAAGTAAATAAATACCACTGGAACTATTAAATTGCATGTAGTTGTAGCCTATTATAAAATAATGACAACGTTGTAAAAATCCACATACAAGGTATTATTATTAAAAGAAAGTTAAATATACTTACGCAAGATCTATTAAAGAAATAAAGATGACCAACTTTAACCAGGTTCGTACCTGCTTATTTGCTATTTTAAACTAAATAAAAAAGATATAGTCATTTATCAAACTAAATTAAGGTTAAACTGTTGAATGTCCAAAAGGAGGTACTTTGATACTTCATAATAAAATCTCATACGGATTTCACAAAATTAAAAAAAATATTAGTTTATTAAGTATAAATGCAAAGACAATTTGCTCATAAATATTAAATAATTATTAGCAACAGAGAAAAACCCAAGTAAAATATAAAAAAATTCGAATACTACCAGGCGCATCCACCATTTTCTCGAATATTGATATTTAAGGTATCACCACAATAATATTTATTATTATTCAAATTTTTTGACAAACAATTTTAATATATCTAGGTACACTAATTACCAGAAAGATTTATCTACAGTCAAAACAATAACGAGTACTATCTCTTGACTTTCTTTTTCACTGTCAATCAGTGTTTTCCAAATTTTTCATATTTATGAATTATAGTCTTTTTACAAAACAAAGTCAAAGATAAGCATTTTATTTTGTTTTTGCTATCGCCGTTTGGATATGATTCGAATCATTTAATCCATCTGTTTTGCTTTATTGTCAAACACTTACCTTGTACATTTTAAAAAGAGAATTGCATAATTGTTTTAATCTTCCTTATAACAACTAGCCAGTTTCAACAACTTTTGATTATATAATAATCTGCACGCTTTTGAAAGTAACAATTATTCGCCGCTTAGTACTTATTAGGCTAGATTGGATATATTCATTCGACGATCAAGCGAAACAGATATCCACTAGTTTCCCTTTCTGTAAATATGCACAGGCGAAATGAAAGTTCACGAGGTTGTAGAAAACAGTAGGGAAAAACAGTCGTTAACCGAAGACGATCCCCTTCCTGGTACGAGAAACTTTTTATTTGCATAAAAGCGTAGCCCCGCACGGACAAGTTATTACCTCGAGTATCGTAATTTTGCATAAAAAACAAAAACTGGTCAATAATAATTGATACACGGTATTAAGTATGATCTCATCCTACTTTCTCTCGATGCCCGCCGATGGCTTACATTTTTAGGCTATATTTCTTACGTTCACTTTCGTTATCTCGAAAATAATCTCTACGGCGAGGAGCATCTAAATGCGGCGAGATCTGATTCTTAACAAATTTCAGTACACTTTCCAAACAAATATGTGCCGGTACGATAATTAAATTTGTTGATAGCTGTTTAAACTTTTCCATTTGTTGCACAAATTCTTTAAGGTTTTTAGGATGCAACTATGTTAATGGATATATAATATTTGAGCAACGTACTTTCAAAAACATGCAATTTTCCAAACGATGTCGAAAAATCCTCGTTCCCCATTGTTGCTAATTCTTAATAAATTCAAAATATACGCAAAGAAAGTAATTATATAGACACTAGCTTATCTTAAGCTTCTGCTTTCTCATTAAGGTAATTTTTTATTTCATAACTATGGAGCTTCATTCTCTCATTAAGTAAGGATTGATTACTGTAATTTCTAATCTTCTACTACCAGATAATTTTATTTACACAATTTTGTGTTTGTAAATGCAACAGTGAAATCTTGAATCATGTGAGAACAATTCTTCGTTTGGAAATACAATTGTGAGAGGGAAGATTGCACAAAAGGAAGATTTAGGTAAGTTGCGTCAGGCACACGATTATTTCTACTTCCTCTGAACACTTTCGCCGATCTTTCCATGCTAAATCTTCGGATATTGTGAGTATCCTTGAGCAAATACAGATTTTGCTATTAAGGGGAGTTTCAAGAAAAGAGTGGCAGGTTACGGTGACAAATGTATTTTTTATAACATAACCTACAAAAAGCTTTATACAAAAATAAAAATAAATTTGACGCGTGGTGTTGTTGATGTTGATCACTCGATGTTGTTGATGTTGTTGTTGGTGTTGAAATGCATCATGACCCGTGTGAGATGGAATGAGATGTTATTTACACTTAAATCAGTTCTTTTAGCTCTCAGAGCCTAGTAGGGAGCCCCGTAGGAGCCGGATGGGCGGGATGGAGCGCCGTAGCTGCTGCTGGGTCCACTGGGATAACCGCCAGCCTGGTGGGAGATCTGTTGGTACTGGGCAACCTGGATGGCTTGCTTGATGCCTTCCAGGTCGATGCCTACCACACGGGTTTGGTAACCGGGAACTCCGTAGGACGACGATGGGACGCCGTACTGGGAGGATGGGGCCCCGTAGGAAGAGCTAATGCCACCGATGCTACCGGAAGAGGCGGAGTTCTGTTCCTCTTTGAGGAGGATCTGACGAACTTGTTCGAGAAGAGCATGGTCTACAGAGGCTCCTTCAGAGGTCTGGTAGCCGGACGAGACCGCCGTGTACCCGCCACCGCCTCCGGACAGTCCACCCCCCAAGGAATAGCCGCCACCGCCGCCGCCGCTGGGCCTGCTGTAGCTGTAGCCGGATGGGGGCTCGGCTACTACCGCGGCAGCCAACGCCAAAGCGAATACCTAAAACAAAGAGAAAAATTATAAATTCCTCCATTCCAGTCCGTACATCGCAGATTTATGAACATTAAATCTAGATTTCTTTGAATATTTTACTATTTTTTTTTATTTTTCATTATTATGAAATCAATAGCTAAATTCTGTGACAATTTCATATTTAAGTAGATAACTTAATAAAAATTGAAGGAAACAATATGTAGTAGTACCTACATGCTTACATTATGATGACAATTTTATTGGATAGTGTCTTCAATTGAATTATTGAGACGTAAAGAATAAAGAAATTAAAATTCTAGCAAAGTACTTATTTATAAATCAAGGAAGGATTCAATAACAGTTGATGGATATCAAACAAAAATTCCAAACATATTCAGTTCTGATTATACATCCCTTTAAAATTCATGGTCCGTTCTACTAAATCTATTTGCTACTGTTTTGAATATTGTGCTGTTCTCTTAGCTTTTCGTTATTTTCCTCATTTGTTGTAAAATATAGAATTAAATATCGTAAGAATTCAATAATCAAAAAGATAATAATAAATACCGAAAACATAAATGTATTTTAACTGAAATATTTATGTTGCAGTGTCAGTTTATGCCAAGGACAGGTATTGAATTGCACATACCAAAAGAAACGATCTCTTAAACTTAACTTTTCCGTCTTTGTTATCTTATTTTATTACTGTTGAATCAATAGCTGAAATTAGGACTAGATAACTTAATAGATATAAAAATATAACAAAGTACTTATTCGAAATAAGGTGTAGTGACAGTGTCCAAGGATACAATATTCTACATTCTTTCAAACGCAATGATCTACGACTTAAATATATTCGCTACTGTTTTGAATATTTCATTGTTTTGTCAACACTTTCCTTTTTTTGTTTTATTACTATTATTGTTGCATCAGTCGCTGAAGCACTTAGACAAACTTGATAAACATAAAAATACGAACATAATTAAATTTATTTTTCTACAGTTTTGAATATTTCAACTATGTTAACTTTTTTCTTTTTTGTTTTCTTGTTAATATTCAATCAACGGCAGCAATACAGAAAAATAGAAATGTATTTTAAACGGACATTCCCGAAAGTTTAGTAAAACATTTTTTACATATTTTTTACAAATTGAAATTACTTTCTAGTTTGCTACAAAGGAAAAAATTTTAAACATTTAATAGCAGAGGCGTATTAAATAACAACTTTATCTTATGACACCTGGCTATGTTCAAGTGCGGCGGATAAAGACGATCACTGTTTACAATATTGGCACCTTTTGGGATAAATATCTGCAACTACTAAACTGAATTTTCTAGTTTCAAATAATGTGTCATTAGGTAGATACCATTGCTAACTTAAAAATTTTCTGAATTGTGTCGGCTTCCTGCATTTTGCACCGCTAACCTTACGGTTCATAAATTTTTATTATTAAAATATTCATTCCTAATTTTTATTGATAATATTTGCCTTCTGCTGAAACAAGATTACACGCAGTTTACTAAATGCAACATTTTTATACATTGTATTCATGTCACGAGAAAACAAATAAAAGTGACTAAACCAATTCATTAACAATTATACAATTCAGTTGTTTCCGAGAAGGACGCGACACGCGGATGTTGTCACTTTCTAATGGCATTACAAAACTTTCCCGCGTTTGACAAAGAGGAAATCGCTTAGAATTCCACCAGGAATGTGAATTCCGGTGTCATCTTTCTATTCAGCAGGCGTTCTATGGTAGTTCTATAAATATTGTCTCTTGGCGGTTTCTAAACATAGCGGCGACGTTAAACAACGTTGTTCCTCGTAGCTCGGATTTCTTCGGTAGCTTTAAGCAAATATTAAATCCTTTCGAATAAATATATTCCGTTTTTATGAGCCAGTCGTAATGCTAATGAACTAAACTAACAGATACGTAAAAAAATAAAAATTATTTGATTTATCTTTTTAAATAGCATGACTTTGATTCAGCAAATACTAATAAAATAAATCATTCTAAGTTATGATTTTAATTTGAGATATTTAAAAATTTTAAATAATTATATTAGGCTGGAATTAAAGTGCAAAAAATGATGATTAACTACGAGGAAATTAGTCACAATTACAACAACTTCATTCAACACATTTCCTATGAACACAAAAATTTGTAAATATAAAAACAGACTGTTTAAATTTAATTTTCATTGAATTAATTCACATCTTAAATTCTTTCATTTTTTACGCACATATTCTTCTTTCAAATTTAAAAATAAATAATTATTTTTCAAGTGTAAAAAATTTCATTAGGTATACACTTTTTGTGTTGGAATACATATATATTTTGTTAATATTGTTCATTTTCATTAACAGATTGAAACAAAATTTGTAACTTTTGTATCAAATATTCAAACAAATATTTCATTCAATTTTTAAATTTTTAATGGTATATTGATTATTATTACATTTCAATTTGTAGATTTTTTAAATTTTAAGTTAATTACTCAAATTGTTTACAAATAACAATCCAAAAGTGTTCAATATTAAAATTTATAAATAGTGAAATTCAAACTATGCTATTAACGATATGATTTTAATTTAATCAGGAAACATTAATGTTAAATCTAGCAATATTATCATTTTTTTTTATGATTGCAGGGTGCAATGAAATTTTTATTATTATTTTTTTTCTAGACAATATAATAGTTCTATTTTAATAATCAGCGCACTTTTATAATAAAACAATTATTTTAAAAATATTGCTATCGTTAATTAAATTTGGTCTTGATGATTTTAATTGTTTTAATTACCGTACTAGCATTAATATCAAAGTCTAAAAAAAAAACCGTAAGAAAATTAACACAACTGTGGACTTAATTTAGATTTTTGTGGTTTTATTTTTACTCCCGAAAGCATGATCCAAAATTGGCTGAAAATTAGTGAACACTGGATTTCCACTGACATTTTTTTTTTTTTTCAAAAATATAACCACAAAAAATCCTGTCTGAACACTGCACAAAAGTCCTGGTTGTGTTAATCTTCGGGCACTAATCGGGATAAAACTCGCGTAATCCTTTGTATTTTTGGAAAATCACCACAACTTACCACACTGAATGAGTTCATGATGCTTGTGATGACTGGGTCGAGTGTGACTGTGTCGACTGCCAGATGTTGAGGATGTTTTATACTCGAATTTCTAGAGGGGGTGGGAATGGTGTCTTCTGAAGATGCCATCGACTTTCACGCATGCATCCTAGAGAGGAGGATGGCGGTTCCTGCCAAAATTCTGGTGTGAGGTCACTGGGTTGGGAACGTACAATGGTGCTAATAAACTTTTGTTTGAACAAATCTCATAGGTTGCAATTATCGGTTGGTAAGTTGGACGCTTTAGTATTCGTGCCAACTACTCGACGTTCTTTTTCATCAGTCGGGTATTGCCGATTTTAGACCAAGGTCGGAATGGTATGTTTTAAGAATGAGCTTCGCTTTAATCGATATTGAAAACTCCCTGAAATAAAACCCCGAATTGGAGAAATCAGAAGAAGCATTATAAACTGCAAACTCTCTTCGAAATATTTTAAAATAGAAACGAAATAGTGTAAGTTGAATTTACCATTCAAAGTGAATTAGATATAATGTGGGACCCGTGTATACAGTCTGTTTGACTATAAAAGCCCCGAGGTATAACTTGGTTACCCGTTTTTGGATACCCTGTAAAGTATACCTATATATTTTTAAATGGGATGTTATTTTATTTATTCTGACGCAAAATTTTTGTTTCGTCACACTATAGAAGAGTGGTGACATCATCGATAAATTTTTTTGCATGTTTTCATGTATTTTTTTATTCTCTTTCCAACCATATTGAAATTTGTATGCCTTTTTATTTTTGAGAAAAAGTGAGAAAACTTTCAGCCTTTGACTTTAATTTACGGTGCTCGCTTTCTAAATCATATCAAACAGAAGGCGCTGGAAAAACAATTTTGAATACCGCTATCTGTCACATATCTGTTTATTTATAATTGCTGTCACCTTTCAACTTTCAACATAACAAAATGGATGATTTTAATGAATTAGTTGATATACCGCAGGTTTATTATGTAGAAAAAACAGTGTAGCGACTTTACATTTATATCGACAACGTTAATCTAATAGAATTTTTCCTAACAGAAGAAAAATTGAGGAAATCATACTAGCATTTTTTTTAGAAAAAATCTGAGTGAATTATGTGCCCCTTAAAATGGATCTATACCAAATTCTATAAAAAAATATTGCGTATTAATTATTCTACGATCAAATTGCCAATTGTGCTGATATTACAGATTTATATCTTTTCATCCAGTAACCCATGAAATAAAAAGTGAAAACCAATTTTATTAGAAAACATTTAAAATATTATAACATGACGGCCTGTTCTGCCAAATTGAAGTTTCTGATATGGTTTCTTCAATTTTCACCCTCCAAAAATGATCTGGTAGGCCTTAGTTTTTGTACGAAAAGTATGACACTTAGTCCTAAAGTAGATACCCTTTTCTCCCCTCTATAATTAAAAAAAAGTTGTCTTGATACATGTTTCGTTAAAAACCTGATTTATTCGGTGTACAGTTTTTACAATACATATTTGCAAAGTCTTTAATCTAAAAGAACTGTTTCTATGTAATGCTTTAAGTCACTTTCTGTTTTTGTCAGTTATTTTTGACGTTTTATTCCACGGCTTGCTTCATCAGACGAACAAATTTTTAATTTTGCCTCAGAATTATTAATATGCCATATTTTTTTATGAAATTTGGAACACATCTATTTCAGATGGCGCTTAATCCAGTGGTGTACTCAGATTTTTGTAAAATTTCTTCAATTTTTACCTTCCAAAAATGATCTGGTAGGCCTTGGATTTTGTATAAAAAAGGATGACACTTGGTCCTAAAGTACTATTTTCTCCTCTCTAATAAAATGATAAAAATCGCCCTGTAAATAAAAATTGTATGAGAGTGTCCCGGTTTCAAATGGATCACACCGTTTATTCTTGTTCCCAATATAGTAGCTTTATTTGTGTAGTGTTGAGATTATCTAAGACAAATATCACATTTCATTGAATATCTCTTAAAACGTTTGAGACGTAAATTAAAAAATCGTATATATTATTTTGTAAAGTGATAAATCTTGAAGCTTTTTTCGATGTATTCAATTATATCGAATGCTTTTTTTTAATCTAAAATAATAATTTCTCAAAAATAGTATGTTTTTCGAATAAAACGGAAGACATCTTTTTTAGAAATACCAACCCAAGTTAAATGCACTTATTCTTAACTTTACATTGAACGTGATATTTTTTTTTTACATTATACGACCTTTGTTTATATGATTTTTTTTCTTATTTTAAAGTGTTCTATATCTATACAGGGTGATAGAAGTTTGACTGCCTTAATTTTAACAGATGATAGAATACATTAAAATAAACAAAAAAAAATACCTTATATGACATGGGTCCTAAACTCAACCATTTCCGAGAAAAAAATTATCAAAATCTCCAGCTTGATATACAAAAGTTCGATTAATTAAGGAATATTGAACTGCGTGCATAGAATATCGTAAAATATAATGTTTATCACTTTTTTGAACTTATTTATGCTTAATTCTAAAAAATAATTAGCGTTGTAATAAATTTAAAATTCGATAAAATTCATATCGAGCAATGTGACAACGGCGTGACAGTTTATTAACACGAGCTACTAAGGTGTCCAGCAACCATCAATACGCAATTTAGTTGTTATCTGGATTCGACCGTATCTGAGTGTTTTTTGCGTACCACTATTTCCTTTTCTTGAGGTGTTTTCCAGCGATTGCGCGAAAATTGGATTAGAAGGTGTCGTGCGTGTATCGAAAATAGTGGTGAACATTTTGAGCATATGTTGTAGTTTGTTTTATACTTGTGCTTTTAAAAATTACTGAATTTTGTTTTGTGGTAAGTACCTAAGTTATTTTTAATACGTATGATTATTTGGATGACGTGACTCTTTGGGTACTTTAATTACATATTTTTCAAATACGTAATTGGATTAAAAATTAAGTTCCTGTTTTAAGAGATTCATAATTACTAAAATATTCGAGCTAAAATTTAAGCACAACACTATCTTCGTACTATAAAATCGATACATTTTATTTTATTTATTTAAAAACTGGAAAACAATTTCTTGAAATTTATTAAATGTTTCACAATGATGGCTATTTACATTTTTTCCGTAGGACAAGTCTGCCGCGTGTATACGTGGTGTGCATCAGCAGGTTAAGCGCTGTTGTCACGTTGTGATGAAACTCCCCAATATTAATACTCGCTATATTTTGAAAATTGTTAGTCTTACGCCCCTGTAATATACAACTCTTTGTTCATTTATGATTATTCTATATCATGCTGAAGTTATGGCAGATAAGCTTCTTACACTCTGTATAAATTTTAGCGTGTGCAATTCGAGACCTGTACATTGCAAGTAACAAGTAACCTACTGTAAATACGATTTTTAGAATGAGTAACTCCTTAAATCCTACTTTGAATAAGTCTTCTTATTATTTTATTTAGAGGTTTTTGAATCAAAATGTGTCCGAATGCAGAAATTATCTTCAAATATACCAGTAAACGCCAGGAAACAGAAAGGATCTCAAGTCAAAAATGATTAGTTGGTGATTGATGCAGAAAACCACGTTTCCCTGTTCAAAAGTACCATCACTTGTCCTGGACGTATCCGACCGCATAATCATTGTGTGAATATTCATTATTGTCTTTTTTTTTAATAGCACCATATTTTTAATCTCATGAATTCCGTGGGTACATAATGGTGATTATGTATTAGTAAAAGTGGAGCGGATTTTGAATACCAGCATTTGTATTGCTGTTATAGGCGTCCGCAGAAAATTTATAAAGGGAAAGGGCGAAAGTAATACAAAGGCTATAAAAAAATATAAAAAATAATAGAGTTGAAGAGAAGAGAAGTAATTAAAATTCGGATAATTTAACCAAGTAAATAACAATTTTATTTTGTTAATTCAAAAACAGAACACCAAGCATATCAAATTATTAAACAATAAGTATTCAAATGTGTTAAATTTATTATCTTCTTCCCCGTGATACCTTATCTTTACTGACAATAAAGGCAATTATTACTTTCACGTCGTTTATTTTATGTGTGGATGTCTCCTTTTATAAATTTCTCTATTAGTAGACGCCAATTCTTTTTATGTTTGTAATAAAACCCGGTCTCTTTCAAGTATGCAGCGAATCTCTGAAATTCTGTATTGTGTACATATTAGAAAACTCTCAAATATTAATGTATCTAAATGTGCTGTCCACCAACTCAAAAATAAATAAATATATTTCTTTCAAAGACGAATGACGTCAGCCGGACTACAACTAATACTTAAACTAATGGGTCTTGCTTTCTACTAATACAATGTAACTTGTTCGTTTTTCAAATATCTTCTCAAATTAACGCAACCATTTCACATAATCGAAATCAACAGAAAAGAGATACACATACAAATTTTATGTAAAATTAAACATTAGATCATTAATTTTTTTGACGTAATGTAAAATTACCTTGTTCATGTAAAGTTATATTATGTATGTAATATTACACTTTTTCTGTAATTCACTCAAAATATAAATTTACAAGTAGTGTAGTGTGATTAGTAAAAAAACAAGGAAACTACATAGCACTTTTAAGAAAAAAAATCTTCCACAGGGTATACTATTTATGTAATCATATTTTTCCAAGGAGGCAAATGAAGGAAAAATAACATTAAATAAAATTAAAATACTTATTAATGATGTAACTGATACATATGTATACTAGAGTAAAATATAAAAGTTTGGGTTATAAATTAAGACAAATAGTACAGAATATTATTGAAACTAATTAATTACAAACCCTTTACAAAAACTAAAACAATGAAAAATTAGACACAACAGGTATAAATTAACAAAGTCACACTTAAAAGTATACATTATAAATGTGTATATGCAATTTCTTTAAAGAACCAAAATACCTTCATATTTAAATGACATAATCCTTTATCTAGTATTTAATTTCACAAACATTTTTATGTTTGTAATATCACGGATAATATAGCGTATCTCCAAGCTATTTTATCTGTGGTAATATATTTAGATTGTTAAAACGGATTGCTGCATTACTGCGCCACAAATGAATGTAAACATGTGGTCTATCAGACCGCTAGCAGAGTTGTCCATAAACAGACACGGTA